ATGAACTCTTACTTTCTATTAAGCAAGTAGTTCAGACAGACATTTGAGATCTGTTAGTTAACTGTTCTCTATCACTCTGTTGATGAGAAAAACAAATGAAACTGAGGTAGCATCAGAATTTTACTCTTTTAGAGCTAGCAGTAAGTGTTGAAAGCAAGAAGTAAGCTTGCTTTTTCATTCTGTAAGTATTTAGAAGTGAATGAAAGGCTGGTCTGTAGCTTTTCCTCAGAATTACTTAAGTAGTTCGGGAGACACTGCTGTGAATTGGAAAAGATACTCTGAAAAGCTCTGGCAGAGAAAAATTGGCAGCAAAAACCTGCCTGTGTTAGACTTTAAAGTGCAGGTCACTAAAGCAATACATTGCAAATAATTTATTAGGAAGAAGAAAGCATGAAGAAATTTCTTCTGTGTTAATGTTGAAGTGAGGAAATAAAGGAAAGAAAAAGCCTATCTGTAGGGCCTGTCAGCCTCTTCCTGTTAATCGGTCACATTTCAATTGTTTCTCCTGCACACTTTGTAATCTGTTTGCATGTTATCAGTGCTAGCGTATGCACATCTTTCCTGCAGTGTTTGCAAGTGTAATGCTCTGCGAAGCACAGGCTGTCTTAAAACTCATCTTTTCAACCAACATGTCATCAGAAAGAGATGAACAGTTCTATGTGATTAGTCAGAGCCCCTTCAATAGTTTCTGATGAACTTGTCCCAGAAGTTTTCTCCTATTATCTGAAACAAGGCATGGTTGGCTGTACTAAGTTAATTGGAAAAATCTCTGGTGTCTTTCTGTTCTAGGTTGCCAATGTTCCAAATATCAGCGTTCCAGTGGGAAAGTGCTTTGGTCTAAGATTGCAGAATGTCACCCTTAGCTAGCTGTGGCTACTGTCTACAAAGAAAACTGTTGGCTGTAACTAAGACTTTGTGTGCGTAGCTTCAGTGGAAATATGCACTTCTTACTTTTTATTTTTTCTCAGCGGAAGACTGATCCAGATGTGATTCTTTGCAATGCAGTAGAGATGATCCGTGAGCGTTTAAATGTTTCTGAAGATGGTAAAAAAGAACACCGTGAGAAGGAAGATGAGTATGTTTATGACATCTACTATATGGAAACATCAGCCCCTGGCTGGATCCAAAATATCCTTTCTGTACAGCCCTATAGAGAAGACTATGAACTGGTAAGGATGGGGGAAAACAGATCTTTCTTAAATAGAAAGGTCACAAATAAACATGCTTAAAGTCTTTTTGTTAGAAGTTGCCATGCCAAGACAGATCCTTCGAGATACTACACGTGTGCTCAGTGACTTGTGTGTTAGACTTTTTGTAACTGCCAGTCCTGTGTTCCTCCACGTGACTGTTGATTCAAGCAAATTATGCTACGACAGTGAAAACTGAAGGGATAGTGCTCATGAACTCAGAAGAATTTGTCTGGCTTCAAATTGCCAAATTTTGGCACACAAATGTAAACTTAAATAATTCACATCTCATTTGTGACTAGGAGGCAGCGATTAAAATGTAGTTGTGAATACAGTTGGGTAAAAAAAGGAGCAAGGGGGGTCACACAACTTTTTCAATATTTGAGGACTTGACTTTAATCTTAACACGAGATATTTTCTTGTAATGGAATTGTTCTTCAGTGACTGTGGAGTTAGGAAGTTAAATGTAAGCTTTAGTCTTTCATTGTATAGCTACTGTGATCAATAGACTTGCATATCAGGAACCTGAAGCTGCTTTTTCTTTTCTCACTGCTGAAGTGAGTAGGATTAATTTAGACATTAACCTTGGCATTTAAATGCTGGACTGGAACATTTAAATGCATGACTTAACTGATTTTTCACCTAAAGCAGATTGCTATGCTATGGTGAATATACTGACAACACAAATTTTTCTACAGTGTGCTTTGTGCAACTGTTGAATAATGCTTGCAGTAGGTTAAGTATCTCTTGGCTCTTTATGATCTGCATAGTATTGTATAGGTGGATGAAAAACCGCTGAATGCCGATTGTCTGTATTTATAGTGAATGTTATGTTTTGTGTTGACATGCAGGTAGATGATGATCATATTCCAGGGGAAATATATGAAGATGAAGATGATGAAAATGATGAAAATAACTGGCGTAATGATTATCCTGATGAAGATGAATTATTACCTGAGGAAGATGGTGATAGAGAAGAAGGTATGGCTGTCATAAATATTGTTTGCTTTCCTGCTGTGCACATATAAATCCTATCCGTTTTTACATGCCGTCTTTCTAAAAAAGCAACTAACTGAGCACTGCTGGCATGGTGTTTTGCTCTTATAATGGGTTAAATCTGCTTAGAGAAGGATCATCTTTCTTGGAATTAGAAGGGATCTTAGTGTTTTTGCAAAGTCAAAATTCAGAACTTCATTTCAGGCGGCTGCACTTGCCAAGGATTGCTTGTTTTGAGAAGGAATAGATGACTCGGTTCCACGTGCTTGTGAAACACTACGTCTGCTTTCTTAACTCCCCATCCCAGTGCACTCCACAATTCAAACTTCACCCACTATAGAAGTTGTTCAGACTTTGTTAGTTACTCAAGAAGCTTAAAATAGTCTGATTAACCTAATTGTTTAACTGAAAAGAAGGGATAATCTAAAAGTGTTGATGTTCTTTCTTTAGAGTCTGAAGAGAGCTTCAGTGATGAGGACCAATGTTACAGGAGAAGAACATGGAACAAATACCGGCAGGAGGTTCTACAGGAATTTGGATATGATGAGATCCAGGATTTGGATTCTGACTAACAGCCCTTTTTTGAAGATTAAATGCACACTGAAGATGTGTTCGTAAGAATGTTGAACTAAAAAAACAAAAGGCCACAAAAAAACCTGGGAAAACCACTTTCCTGTCAAAGATGTGCTCATTGGGACAGCAGGAAACCAATCTTTACATGGATGAGCTTTAAGCTAAATTTTTGCCTGTCTGGCCTTCTGAAACTGTTGGTGACTAGCATGGTTCACCCTAATGCTTACTGACGAGGCTTGAGTATTAGATAATAGATTGGGATTCCAGTAAATGCTAAAACCTTTTACTATCTGAGCTGTTACTATCTAGGCAGCCAACTTCAGCTGGTAGATACTAAACAGATGGGTGTGAATATGCAACTTGACAATACAAATTTTTGTTCCAAGCAAAAGATATTATATGCTTTAAAATATTTTTTCTGCCCATTCTTTGATGCTGAGGTTCTGAAGGAACTCCCCCCCCGCCCTCCAAGCTGCATGCCCAAGCATTTGTACCTGTACCGACAGTACCTCCACATTATATATGGAGGTACTGTTGGCAGCAGCCCTTCTTGTCATAACTAATGTGTCGGGTTTCACAAGAAGATCAACGTGTCTGCCGTGATGCCAAGTGGAAGTCCTGGAAAAAGGCACTCCATCCTAGTGCTTTCTACTGTATTTGTTCCTAAGTTTCAAGTTACCTTCTTTACAAGTGCTTGAGCATATGAAATGCCTTGACCTGTCCATTTTATTGCTGGATCTCTCTCCAGTAATTGTACTATCGGAGTAGAACAATATATGTGCATTTAAATTGTAAATAAAGAATTTTTGACTAAGTTTTCTTTACTCATTTAAAGATCATAGGAGTTGGTATAGCTGAAGCCATGTCAGCATTTTAACTTTCGTTCATCTTTAAAACAATTTAATCTTACCTGTTTAGACACAAAGTGTTTCAGCACTCTTCTACTTGAGTCTGTAAAAAAAAATAGCTAATAGGATGTTAGACCTATGTCAGTCATAAGCTGTAGGTTGCAGCAGTGACTTTAGGTCAATTAGTTCTGGCTGGTGATGTCAAGGTAGTGGGGGCAAAATATTTTTTTTCCTTGGTTTCGCAGAAAGGTTAATATGGCTGTTAACCTATGCCACAACCCTAGCCTGTTAAAGCTATGCTGCCCACTAGACAGATGTCTCAACTTAGATTCTGAATTCATTCTAATCATATGAAAGACTAAAGAGCTGTATTATGAAAATTGGCATTTAGCTATTATGAAATACTGAGAAGACCCTGCATCTTTATGTGCCAACTGTGCACAAAGTTCCTCAGCTAGAATTTAAGTCCCAATGCTGCTTCACAAAGGTAGCTCAAGACTCCATTTTATGTTAGTTTTCACCATCTACTACCACTTGCCATTATCTGTAGCTTTTTGTTTAAGATACAATAACCTTGGTCAGGGAGTCACTACAAGAATCCAAATATTCTCCTATTATTCAAGTGGCTGATGCAAATGTGGTGCAGCATTTGAAGTCTGCGTTGCTTCAGCCATAGTCTTGTGATTACAAGATTTAGTTCTACTTAAATGCACAAAGAATGCACGTGGACAAACTCAGGTCAACTGAGGTAAACATTCTGAACTAAGACAAAAATTCCAGGTATGTTTTTGAAGTATATCTCACTCTGCTAACCAAACAGACTGGCTTCATGTTACCTTTTGTTGCACCAAAATTCAGTATCAAAGTGTCCTGATGTTAGGCTTACGGCTTTGGAATTACAAATACTGCTAATTAGCATCGGTCTGTATTGCAATACTATTACTTTTTATTTGTTTTTATTCTTATTTTCTCTCCCCGCTGCTTAGCTTTCAAGATATAGTTGCTGCCACAGAACTTCACTTCTGCAATAGAAGAAAAAAATAAAGTAATTTGTTCTGTGAGTTTTTGGATGGTCATTTTCTAGTGAACAGCACTGAAATTTAGAAGGGGAATTTTCTGACTGCTGAGGTAACACTGCTAACGTGTGTTCACTGAAACCATTCAGAAACAAATGCTTACAAGCTTCAAACTGAACACTTTAATTTTGGAAGTTTCATAAAGCCTGCCAGAAGTTGACCAAGTACTAACAAGCTAACAGGAAAGAATTGTCAAATGTTAATCAAATCTTCAGTGCCGAGGTCCTTTGTTGATTAAATCCTTGCCACAGTCAGATAACCACGTTTGCACGTAGCATACGGAATAAAATACTTACTGATCTTTAAGGGAGAAAGGTTGATTCAGTCTTTAAATAATGTAGCGCAACTTTATTCATTTTTCTACTAAGAATGACAAATTAGGTAGTTTGTTGTGACCAGTTGTCTTCTGGGGTAAGAACTGAGATAGCACAGCAAATCACTTCATGCAAACATCCATCAGAATTAAGCTGGAAATGACTTGTGGTCTTTTGAGTCAAAGTGGTTTTCAGTCTAACTTAAAAATGCATTACTTCACCGCCTGGTTCTGCAGAAATCTGATTTGATCCATTAGCTCTTACCATTTTAATACCAATTCTGAAGAAGGATCAGTATTGACGCATAGCTTGTGTGCCTGAAATGAGTAGGTAATCATTATCCAATGAAAACATGCCCCGAAAATATGCCACAGTTCAGGGAGGGTGATGCGAGGGCATGATTTATGTGGGAATCCAACTGCAAGTAAGTACATTTTCAGTGTTTCTGAAAGACCACTAGAAACAGTTTTCCCATTTTTTCCAGTTCCATCTCTTCCGTTTTGTTGTCATAATTGCTTTATCCTCCCTCCTGTTTCTTGTAATGGCTTTGAAATCTTAGTTGGATTTGATTTCTAACTTCTTTTCTTCATTTGTGTCCATCTCTGTTAAAACACAGTAACAGAGCAGCTGCATGTTTCGTGTGACTGCACCTGCATAGGAAATTGAAGATAAATCAGAAGAACAGCCACCTATCTCAACGCTAATTACACAACAGGCATCTGACTAATGAAAGTTAGTTGTCAAGAATACTGCCTCACCTCTCTTAAGGGAAACAAACAATAAAAGTTAATACAGAAAGTGTCTTCCACTCAATTTTTTTTAAACAGATAATGTTTTAAATTGTTCTGTTGATATCCTAGGGTGTTTTTCTTCTTAGGCACCCCGCCAAGTAACAGAAGTAAAATCTTTTTTCTCTATAATTAAGAGTATAGAATTGGTAGAATAAAAAAATAAAACAAGAACTTCAAATAGCACACAGGAAAGTGACAAGATTACTGAGTATTTACATATTCACTAGCTGCTGCAGCACCACATCCTGTTGCATTCCAAGACTATGCTATAAACCTTCCTTTCCACATCCCTCATCACGGTTTTCTCACATAGTAAGTGACAACAGTGTACTGCTGCAGAGAAATGTATGATTTAACTGCAGCAATTCAACAGAAGGCAAAATTCCATCTGTCACTGACATAAAATCTATCCATCTTCAAACAACTGATTCAGTAAAGCAAGACAGTTAGCTTGCATTACCAAGAACGTCCAGCCCTTTTACAGTCCTCAACCTTGCCTAAGAAAAAGACTTTTCATGTGCTTGATTAAAGAGAAATGCGTAAAAACTGAGGACAAAATCTGTAGAAAGTGGATGGTCTTTGAAATATCCAGTAAACAAAATCTTGGTGTAAAAACATACACAAAATCAGTATACCCCTTTACTGGGTCTGGCTGGGATGCAGTTAACAGTCTTCATAGCAGCCCATATGGTGCTGTGTTTTGGATTTGTGGCTCCAACAGTGTTGGTAACACACCGATGTTTTGGCTATTGCTGAACAGTGTTTGCACGGTATCAAGGCTTTTTTTTTTTCCCTCCCACTCTGCCCTCCCCACAACAACATGGGCAGGAAGTTCGGAGGGGGGATGGCCAGAACAGCTAACCCAAACTAAGTAAAGGGATATAAAGCAATAAAAACTGGGGTAGAGGAAGAAGTGCGTGCATGTGGGAGGGTGTCTTCCAAGGTGGCTGTTGCTTGGAAAATTGGTTGCGCATTGGTCTGCTTGTGGGAGGTGGTAAGCGATTGCGTTTGCAGCAGCAGGGTTTTTTTCCCCCTTTTGCTTCACTTACTAAACTGTCTTTTTCTTGACCAACAAGTTTTCTCACCTTTGTTCTTCCTATTCTATCCCCTATCCTGCTGGGGGGTGCTGGTGAGCAAGCAGCTCTGTGGGTACTTAGCTGCTGGCTGGGGTCAACTGACCACAACCCTTTTCATCAACAAACCGAGATTCACTTATTTAATTTTCCTCTTTCCTAACAACATCTCCATCTACAAAGAAACTTACCTAAAATCTTGTTGATAAACTGAGGTCTCCTTGATGCAGGTAAATAGACTCCCAAGAAAAACACTGGAATTCCAGATAAAGCAATGGCAATTCCAATCAATGAATTTATAGTGTCACTATAGAGTGGCACTACCACCAGAAATACCGTGCATATACAGAATATTATTGGGAAAGCCACACTCAGCTGGAGACGGAAAAAACAGAACAGAATGTTACTGAAATATTTGTTGTCTACAGTTACAAATGTTTTGGTGAGAATTACAGACTTTTCCCTCTCAGCTCCACTTTGTGGAATTATCTGCTCTTTGTCTTACACGTCTGGCTATTTGGAACCATAAGCAAATAGCAGAATAATTCTTGAACAGAACTGCTGTTAAAAATTGCAGAAGTAATCAAGTATGGTAACTCTGCTGTGTTGAAAGAAACTGTATAACAGTATGAAGTGTTTTTAGACAAATCCAATAAATCCCAGGAAACAAGAATGACATTTTCATGTAGCATATCAACTTTAAGTATGAGAAGATGGTAAGAGGATCAGATATTGAACTGAAACACCATCACAGCTACACGTGGTCCACATTGACAGAATTAATTAACTTAAGCATTCCTAATTTGAGATTTCTAATCCAAGAAAAAAGGCTAACTACTATGTTAGCCTATTGAGACATTCTCCACTGACAGAGAGAAGGGCTACTGATTGAACTAACGTACAATAAAAGAGTATATTATTACAATAATAACTTATTCTTATCTAGCAGACAAGCTAGTTTTCATGGCACAACGTAAAAATTAAAGCCATGTTTTGTGTCCTGATCAATTTGTAACCTTCAGGCATAACATGTAGGGTCCAGATTTTAGACACTACTTTTAATTTAGGTGGAAGAGAGGGATTTTAAACAATTCTGTAATAAGTAAATATTACCTTAAGAGGCCTGGGTCGATCTGGTTCCTTCCAACGTAGATATAATTGCCCAGCAATAGACAGACCAACAAAAAACCAGTAACTGAAACTGAAGTAATTAATAAGCTTGAAGACATCTTCCACAGCCAGGTAAATAAGGGTCATAGCACACTGTCAGAAAAGAACAGGAGTGAGATGAACAACAGAAGTTTGAAACATTGTTTATGCTGCTTTTTGCATAAAGTAACACTTTTTACTCCTTGGTGTTTGGCATGCCTCTCAAAATTAACTCTTTCAGAAACCACCTCAATGACAGTAAATCTGAAGTTCTCTCCTGTGCTTTTTTGAAGTCTACCTTTAAATAATTCATATAGTCACATCTGAACAGCTGAAAAGAAAAGCAGTAATAACTTACATTGAACAGCAGAGCTGGCACAGGTGTGAACCTCCCTATGTGGATCATCGACAACAGATCAGGAAGGTGACCTTCCCTAGAGCCTACAAAAAATAGCCTGAAAAACACAAATCAAAAAACAGATGTTGAGGCCACAGGTGAGAGAGAATGTATTACAGAAAATCAAACAACAATACCAGTCAAAATAAGTATTTACACCACTGAATTTCCATCCTTCAAACTGGAACATGGATTCAACCCTTCCAGTAAAGATGTACTGTACAACAACCACTAGAAGATATAGAAGCTATTAGAAACATGCTGTTAACACCCATTTTTAGAAAACAATCCTACAGGTAAAATAGAAAATATCTACAGTAACTGAAATAAATTTCTATTTTTTTTTTTAATTCTAAAAGCTAGTGCTGAAAACATTCCAGCTTATAGCAGAATAGTTTTCAATGCCAACCAGAAGAGATCACCAGGTCTCTTAAAAAGAGGTCACTCAACCACATGCTCAAAAAACAAACACACATAATTTTATTATCAACTGCAAATTGTTCTATACTGACTGCTTCACCAGATCATGTTCATATTTGTTCTCAGTACACAGGCATTGCACATACATTCAATGAACAGGAAGGATGTTAAAATGCCTGAATAAAGCTATTTAAAACTTTCACTAGTCACATCCATAATCAGTGCTCAGAGGAAAGCTTCTATACTGTACCTGAAGCTTTTTGACTGCAGCTTAATAGCAGTAGCAACTTTTAAAACTTTTTACTTCAAGAAAACTTAAAGATACTGATTTTAAAAAGTCAGTAAGTTTTAAGCAAATACATTCGAAAACAAGAATTTGCTAGAATTACCGTACCAAGTAAAATGGAAGATAACTCAATCCCAATAATCAGAAGGCCTGAGGATTCACCACACAGCCAACATTCATTTGATCTTTAATTGTACTCTGCATACAGCTAGGAACACTTTGGGGCAGTAAGGCAGTGTTAAGGGTGTATGTACACACACAGAGGTTTATTTAGGTCTGTTATTTTATTGTGGCTATTCATTATAGGTTTGGTTACAAAAGTATTTTTGCCACTCATAATAGATGAGCATAACAGTAACATGTAAAAATACTTATGAACATTTGTCAAACAGAAAGAGATATGCACTACCTTGATGATGCTAGAATTGAAGCATTAAGTCCACCAAAACAAGAAAAGGCTACAGCAATGGGAATTGTCCAGCTGAAGATACCAAACACCTGGTCAGCAAATGTCTAGTGAAAAGGAACAGAAAAAGGAAACATGAAAGCATCTGCAACAAAGCATATGTAAAACAATGACATCAAAGCTTTTGTAATAAGTTTGTGTGGAAAAATAGTATTATAGTAAGGACAATTCATAATGCAGCACAAAGAAGCACACAGCTTTTTTATTTATTTATGGATTCTAAAATAAAGCACAAACTTCTTTAGCCAAGCACCTGAACTCACATTTTCTGCTCACAAAATTAATGCTCACAAAGGAAAACAAAATGTTTTTAGAATTTTCTCACCAATCCTCATACCTTTTATTATCTAACTGAACTACAGAACTCAAGTGTAACATAGTGACTACAGAGAATAAAGGACAAAAATATTATTACATATCCAAAAAGGGAAGTGCCATATTGCAGATGATAAACACAGCCACCATCACACCTACTAGGAGTCTATTATATTTTCCTTCTTTTTCAATTTCCTAAGCAACATCATCTTTTCCTTTAGCTCCACCAGCAGGGCCTCTGGGCTCTACCCTCACAACATGGCAAATGACAGACCAAGTATCTTATTAGCATTCATTTGTTAATGTTGCTAGACAATACTGCAGGCCAACTGTGGTGACTTTCCATGATAGAGCTCTGAAACCAAGAAGCCAGAAGCATCAAAGTTTCACAGCAAGTGGTAAGAGTCATCGATTGCCAGTGATCTGGGACCTATAATGAAAATGGGTAATAATAATTTGCAAGATATTGTCCTGGTCAATTCTGTGCAGCCTCCTGGATGGAGAAAAAAGGGAGAAAAACTTAGAATATCAGACAAAATGTTTGAAAGATCAAGAAATTTAACACATGAAAACTGACAGCTATTCTAAATCCCATCACGGTCTGAGTATTGTACATGTCTGAACATTAGCATACTTGGAGTTAAGCAGAAATCCACTCATGCTGTGTTCAGAGGACGTGGGTGGAAGCCTTCCTATCCCAATTCTACCTACTGATAGCTAAATTACTTCCATGATTTCTTTTACAGAAGCAAACTAACAGTGATGGTAGCAAAAGGATCATGTCTACATTAGACAGCATGAAATCACTATTTATGGAAACAGAAAGGTACATACTTATGTATAAGTGGTATTCAAACAAACCCCAAAGATTTTGTGGGCATTAGAACATTTTACACCTCAGCAGGTAGCAGTAATCTAAACCTTTTTATGAGCTGTTCTCTAAATCACTTTCCTAGCTTTCTTGCTTTATCAATTTCAAGATACTCAGACATAAAAAGCATATATACTAGTTTGGCTTTCTGCAGGTCTGTCTTTTCTATTACAGAAATTTTCTTCAGTTTTTAATATTTTAGTATTTTGAAACACCTCCCCCTTGACCTCCCCTTTAAACTATTGGTCTTCACTATAACATTTATGAGCTAAGAAGTTCAATCAAAGTGGATTAACATTCAGAACTGGCCTTTGTTTGTAGCATATAAAATTATCTGGATTTAACAGTGGTCAAATTTTGATTTAATTACTTCAGGAAGAAGATCACCAAAAGCAGTGCATTATGATCTGTTTTCTGAATGTTTCTGTAGGTCAAAAGCGCCTAAATGACTTAATACAGATTTTTTTTCATGAAACGAGTGATTGATTTTCATGAAGCAAAACCCTGTATATAATGTCAATCTTTAAACCATAAAATGCAGAAAAATTTACTGACATAAAACAAAGCTTGGCCGGTTAAAGTTTCCTGTTCTTTGTCTGGGTTGACA